ACACTTCTAACAAGATAACATAGACATCTTTACCGTTATATAATGACTTGTATATTTCATGAGTAATAGTAATTAGTTGGTTCACTGTGAAATCGTTGATCTTAAAACCAGGATTCTAAGTGATCAGTAAATCATAAAATTCGCAAAACTCATATACCAAGTCAGGAATATGTCAGTTATTTTCAAATAGTCCGTTTCTATGTATGATTGCGTTTGTTTTTGTAGCAGTTCAGTGTGTATGTTGTTCAGATGTTTTCCTCTTGTATGTGATGTGTTTCCTCGGTTTTGGTTTGTGACCCGTATTTGGTTCAGTTAAATCGATTTATGGCTATTGAACAGCAGTATACTACTAATGCCTTTATACAACCTTATAGATTATTTTCTCAAGGATCTTTGACACAGATGATAGTAGAGCAATATGTCGATCATTAGACATCATATTTTATGGCCTTTATTTTTGTACACTGGATACACATTAGATACCTTCAATAGAGAAAGTTTACTTCAGAACGAAGTGAGAAATTGGTTTGGTGAGTGGCTGATACAGAGATTGATCACAGTGCTTTAGAATATAGTTAGATATACAATCTGGGTCACATTATTAACGTGGGTCTTATTGGCGTAAATATTGAAGAACATCTAATTCAACGGCGTTTTCTCCGGAAGTCGGTCTACAGTAAAAAAAAATAAGTGATATAAAGCGGGCAGGTCGTTATCATGTTGACCTAAATCCATCTAAGCAGTAAAATAACAATTAAGGAGTTCTGCCTTTTCAAGATCATCAAATATAAAATTTTTGTTTTCTTTCAAGGGGGAATAACTCTAAAACGGACTTGCTAAGGGACCAACATTACCGAGGATTAAGGTCTTCTGTAGAAATTGAACGAATAATATTAACATGATTAATTTCATATCGTTGTTCCAAACATTGTGACAGCATCCGTGAGATTATTAAATTTCACATATGATATATTTATAATACGCTGGTAGACACATTTTGCCTTTTCAAGGAATATGTGTTTGACGGTAATAATATTTTCAAATCTCATTTTGAACTGGTAGTAAAATAAATACGTCGACATGTCTCATCGCATTGGTATAACGTGATGAAAAAAAGAAACATTAATTTTAAATATTATATTATATCATAATGATTAAGCATTTAGTTGTTACATGTATTTGCTGCAGGCATAATAGCTACAACAGGTGTTTGCAAACAATTCAATCTATTGTCATTCTATCACTTATTAAAGTACAAGTATAATTGGCGGTTATAAAAAATTCTGAGAGATTAATAGCATTACTGATTATGTAACATAAAGCGTTTGCAGTCATTTAATCAACAATGCATAAAAACAAATACTTAAAACCATCTTTCATGTATATTGAAAGGGATCAAAAGTGGATAGCTAAAATGCAGTTCATGTTTCCATATCACTTAATACTAGTTTCATGAATGAGTCCTAGTCATACACAAATTTCTATACTTATGCATGTTTAATTTCTTTCGAATATCGGCTATTAATATCACTGAATGTTTCAAATTACTCTTATGGATGAACTTATATTGGTGCTCATTTTGTAGGCGTTGGATACGACTGTAAATTGCTGATTTTGCAACATAAATCGTTTGCTGTCATTCAATCAACAATGCGCACAAACAAATACATTAAAACATCCTTTTTGTATTTTTAAGGGGAACAAATCCAATTAGCTGAAAATTCAGTTCATGTTTCCATATCAATAAATACTAGTCTCACGTAAAAAAAATTAAGTCATAGTCATAAAAAAATCCTATACTTATGCATGTTTAATTTCTTTCGAATATCGGCTATCAATATCATAGAATACTGAAAAGCACAATTTTTGCGCATTGGTTTACCAGTAATTCCGTTTGAAACTGACGTCATGTAACAGCTATGACAACAGCACATGATTACTTCACAAAATGGCGAACGATGAGAAGTGTTTCCATGATGATTAAACATTTTTAAAAGCAATTGAAAATGATGCTTTTCTGTATGCATGCCTCAAATCTATGTCCAGCCTCAAAGCTGTGTGATTTTCATAAATTTGAGTCATATTCAAAGACGTTACAAATCCTCAAATCTATGTCTCTTTCAACAATGGCATATGCGTTGACGTCAAATTTACCAAGACTTCATCGAGGATTGTCAAAGACATCAATACGACTTTTTTTATGCGACATAAATCGATATTAGTCCATTGAAAAGTTATGTATGTTGCACAATGAACATAGGGGCTATGTTTCTCACAATAAAACAATTGTGAAAAAAACTAATTTATACTTTTTAAAATATCAGAATAAAAAAACTTGTTAATCTCTTAATATAGACACACTAGTCATAAATGAACCTTTGAAGACAATGGATTCGAGTTATTTTATATACTTTGTGTCTTCGTCTTTATGTCCTTTTGTTCGTTGAGTTTTCCGCTTTGTGCAGATCTGATGAGTCAAGTCTTTTTCAACTGATTTTTTGCAGTTTGTTGTTACACAACGGTTCCATATTAGGGGAGCGATTTAACCCGCCGCATTCCATATGTGCCTGGCCAAATTCACGTCACATTACTGAATGTCTATTTTATACAGAGGACACTTATCTGCGGAAAGGACACAGATTAGAGGCCGCACATAAGCCCACAGATTTGAGCGTCATGGGACACATTTCTGAAGGAAAGACACAGATTTGAAGCTGGACATAGTTTTGACTCTTACACATATATTCGTACTTTCGCTATTAACATTGTGACTTAACTTAAACCCTGTGCTTTATATGTGAACATGTGTAACACAATTTGAGAAAGAATAGTTATTTTAAAACAGTAGGAAATTATTGGATAAATCTTAACATATATACAATACTTTTAGTTTGAGAATTACGGAATGCATTTATTAAATTTCCTATCTAAAATATTTAATGATATAATTCGTATCTGAATTCATACACTCATAAAGATTGAACTCATTTACGGTATTCACTTTGCTTTTAGCAACTCTGCCAACTACACTGTCCAGTTGCATCTGTAGCACAAACTGTTTCTCTACTACACTTTATTGGAGGTTTGCCACACTGATTTTGACTTTGTTTGCTGTTTGTTATTTTGAATTTGTAAGGTATCTACAAAATAATAATAAAATAACAATGACATGTTTGTTCGTTAATATGTATTTCGAAAAGCTTTGGACATAAAGAAAAACAATATTTCCTACTAAATTCTTTCAAAGTCAATAGTTTGTTTAGGTAAGGGGAAGGTTGAGCGCTCACATACATGTTTAACCCTGCCAAATTCGTGTGTGCCTGTCCACAGTCAGGAGCCTATAGTTCAGTGGTTGTCGTTGTATAATGCTGTCATATATGCTTTTCGTTAATTGTTAAGTTATAAACTAGGCCGTTAGTTTTTTCAATTGTTTTATATTTTTTCATGGCGGGGCCTTTTTTAGCCCACTTTACGGTTGTGGGCCGTACGGTTCACTATAATTGCTTACATCCACTTCTTTTAAACTTTGGTGGATTGTTGTCTCACTAGCAATCATACTATATCACCGTATTTTTATATAAAAAAATGAATTCATTTTGTCGATAGTCATCTTCTATTCAAATGGTTATAGGACAGCTTGGATTTGCAGGCTATATATATTATTATATAAACAGAAATGTTGAGAGCAAACATTGACATGACAATTTATCAAACTATGTATCAATTCTTTCTAAATAATGTTAATAAATCATAAAAGGAATATCGACGATACATTTCAGCGAGGAAGTAGCCTTTCATATGTCATGATTAATATAGCTGATAACAAAAGTGATATTTTTTTTTCAAATTGTTTTGACTAAACATAATGTAACCAAGAGCTAAACTATAAGTACATACATGTATAATGCAAAAATGCCAAATTTGAGGGCCTATTGTATTATCATTTATATGGGTTTGAGAAATGTCTTGTGTATTTTAAGTGATGGTATTTAATAGATTTTAAATACTAGTGATAAGAGATTTCTGAGTGCAAAAATTACAGTTTACGATTGATTTCAAAGAAACTTGTGACTCGGAATAAATATTTACCAACATCTTACGTTCAAATGAGTGTTTATGGTTTCTTCGTTATAATAACAATTCCCACACTGACATAATTGATATGAGGATGTATATATTTGTCAATTGTAAATATATGTCGATGATTAAAACCGCAAATATAAGCAACAGTAGATTACCGGAGAAATCCCTTGAAAAGACAAATATAGGTAAGAAACAAAACCTGAATAAATCGCATGAACTCCAAAAGGAAGAAAACCGTGTGCGTCGACAGGGCAAGCGTCATCAGCTTTGAATGCTTCGTTATGTCGCATGAACTCTGAAAAAGAACAAAACCGTGTGCGTCGACAGGGCAAGCGTCATCGGCATTAAATGCTTCGTTATGTTGCATGAACTCCAAAAGGTACAAAACCGTGTGCGTCGACAGGGCAAGCGTCATCGGCTTTGAATGCTTCGTTATGCAAATCAAAACTTTCATGGAATTTGTCAATCTAAAACTTCGAATACATGTCGCTAGTAATTTTAGACACAGACATATCGTATAGGTCAACAAATTCGTGATGATGACTGATAAACCTTCATCATAACTTTGTTGGAAATGTTTTAGTGCTAATAAAACAGTATAATATGAACATGCACGAGTGTAACGCATCAATCGAGATATATTATATACAGAGATTATGTTACTGAAACAATATTGGAAGCTATCATTGGAAAGTTGAAGCCGTCCATCTGTGTCAGTAAAATAACATACAGTGACCGGATGAATGCAGAAAAAACCTGACGTCTGTAAATTTCGACTTAAGTCATCAAACTTCAAAAATCGATTTAATAAACTTATTGGAGTATTAATTTAATTTACCCTTCCTCTTAATTTTTGTTATTTTACTTTTTACACCTCCTTCAAATACACTGTATAATCAAATTGTACTTGCCTTACAGTGACAGTTTTTCTTGTATTCACCAGATAAACCGCCTAACAATGCCTTACTTGCATGGCTGAATTTGATCTGGAGTCCACAAAGGTTATGGCTCATTATTCCATCATACACACTAACTAAGAGAAAAATTATCGGACGTTAATGTGTTTTCACAATTACAATTTGTTGCCTATCATAAGTTGAAAATGTTAGTATAAGTAGTATTTAATCTATTACTTAAAAAAAGATTTATATAAACATACAATTAGAAAAACTTCTCATCATTATATGTTTTAACATGTATGTAATTGATTACATATGCATCGATTTACTCCCACATCCAAACGGGAATATGCAAAGACATTTTTTTAGCGTTCCTGATGAAGGAATCTGGAAAAACGCTTCGAACGCACGAATTTTTTAAATACATGTAGTTATTTTTATTTAAAATTCCTATTAACCAAATGTGAAAACCACCTTGATTCGAGATAAAGCATTTAGAAATCATGTGTTAAACATGTCTTCGAATGGCATTGAATCTTTTAAGTTGACATTTTTGCTCGTTGATCAAAGAAAACATAAGTACTTTTACACATTTTCGAGACAATTTCAATTTCATGTATTTTTGTTATATTTCTTCTGAACTTTCCAATATTTAATAGTATGTTATAAAGTTGAGTAGTGCTTTGGATTTAAAGAGTTCTATATTTGTATACTATGGACTCGTTGTTATTTGTGGGGTATCATTTTCGTGGATTTCATGTGTACAGTTAAACCACGTGTTTAAATGTACATCAAATATAAATTTTCTATTGGTTGAAAGCAAAATTTTACAAAACCTTGAAATTAAAATTCTTTGAAAACATAAATTTTCCTCAATCGACTAAAATAAATGAACCTAATTGGCCAGAAATTATCCTCCACCTTTCAAAGCAAAATATATGAACGTATCCTTTTTTCTCAAAATGTTATTCATTTGTTACTGTATACCTGTAAGAATATATTCGGATCCAGTTTTGAATACTACTGGACCACATGCCGCACTGTCCTTTGGTGTCCATAGCGTAGATTTGTTGGACAGTCTATTGTATTCATCTTCACCCTTAACATTTTAAAATAAAAATGTTGAAAAGATCATTAAATTTCGAGAACATACTTAAATTCAATTAGGAATCACAAGTCAATGAAAAATAGAAAAAGACGAATTTATGATATACGTTGTGTCAGTTCATGCATAAAGGTGGAGGTTTGCACGTCAATCAAATGTACGTCGGTGTGGATGCAAAATATACAAATCAGATATGCTAAAGCTGGGAAATATAAAAATGGACATACAACATAACCAACATTTTTTAGGTCCCTTTTGCAAAGAGCGTATTCTTTTTGTTCTTTTTTGGTCCTCTATCCTCTCCAACTTCGTACTTTATTTGGCTTTTTTTTTAACTTTTTTGATCGAGCGTCACTAGTGGTGAGACGAAACTCTTGTCTGGCGTACATAACTTGAATCCTTGCATATTTCATGAGTTTATTTAAGAGCAATTTACAATGCTAATTTATTAAATTGTAAGTTAAACGATATGGAAATTAATACTTGGTAAATGTAAAGAGTCAAAAGAGTTGATATTTATTGAATGATTATGGTATTACTATTTAAGATTAAAGTCATCCATAACATCACAATGTGAAAAAGTGTAAAAACACTACTTCATGTATATAATATTGTTCATTAATTGAGTTGATATTTGCTATGTAATATTGTTATCAGTTGCTGTCTATCATATTTGTTTTCGGGTACTGCTTTCATTTATATCATGCCATTTGTTATTTTTTTTTCTTTTAAGGTGGTACCTAACACTACAGGGAGATAACTCTGTAAAAATCAACTTAACGTTTTAATCACGTTGTATTATTAAGGAAATACTAAGCTTCTCAATGATCAAAATTAGTGTTTGTCAAACTGCTATATAACCAGTGAAATTTTTCTGATAAAGTGGTTGGTTCAAATTATTTGAATGTTTTATATTTCTGTCAAAGGGTCAAAGTAAACATTCTGTCAAAATTTTAGGAATATTAAACGAGCCAAATTAATATTAGTCAAGGTGTTGGGTACCACCTTAAATTTTGATATGGGTTTCATTCATTATTGAAGACCGTACGATGACCTATAGTTGCTTAATTCCACTTATTTAGAGTCTACTTGATCGTTGTTTCATTGGCACGTCTCATTATCTTATATCAATATGCGTCGTACTCTTCAATTCGGTGTTGTGTATCGCATGTGCTACAAACCTGGGTAATTAAATTATTTATTTATGATCGGTATGTACGATGGAACTCTTGAGATGTAATGGAAATTGATTGAGCAACAAAAATTACTTCAAAAATATATGAATAGAAAGTCTAACAATACATTGAGAAAAACAATGATGCAAAGTGTTAAATGACTTCTTATGTATTACATGATGTGGAATGTTAATCAGAGCTTCATATCATTCAAAGCCCTACTTGAATAGTTTCTTTGTTAAAAATAATAAAGTTTAAAAATAGATGAATTCTGAAACATCAAAAATATTTTCCGAGAAACAAATCTGAAGTTTTCTGCAGCCTGCAGAGACAATTTGATATATAAGCAAGTTTTAACGCACATGAATCAGAGCCTCACATATGGTGTTGAATACCGTGTGTTGTCTTTTTGATCTTTGAACTGTTTTTTCTTTTGTTATAAGAATATGATATCTCTTTCATTTATATTCATATATCCCTTTTTTTAATTGGTTTATTACGCTTTCCTTGAAGACAATTATTTTGAAAAAAAAAATCATACTTACATCATAAAATTTTATTATAGATATTTCATAATAAGTATATGTATGGTCTGATGTAGAGGATTCAATTCTAGCTTTCACGACTGAAAAAAACATTGAAATACGGTTTATAAGTAATCAATAAAATTGAGAATGGAAACGGGGAATGTGTCAAAGAAACAATTACCCGACCAAAGAGCACAAAACAACCCTAGGACACCAATGGGCCTTCAACACATCGAGAACATCCCACACTCAGAGGCGGGCTTCAGCTGGCCCTTAAACAAAAATGTTTACTAGTTCAGCGGAAATGGACGTCACACTAAACAATAAATACACACTAAATAATAGTTGACTTTTAAACATTATTTGAGATGCGTCGGATAGAAATCTACCTTATACAAATGAATATCAATACATCTGTTAACTTATGTCGGGTTGAAAACAAAGTCTGTAACTGTTTGAAAATTGGAGCGATATAAGAACCCTACAAAACAGACCAACATTCATCTTTTATTTCGTATTCGAATGTTTAAAATCAATCAAAGTCTTATACGTGTACATGTATACGTGCACTTGCATAAAGTCAATTTCTACCCGATGCAGCTCATTTATAAAAAAAAACGGCAATGGTAATTTTGATTTCAAATTCGAACTATTTAATTTTTCCATTAATATGAAGAAACAAGTGGAATTCTGAAACATAACATGAAACAATTAAGTTTCATTTAAAACAACGTCCCTGTATAACAACCATCATAGATACCAGCTTATACGTTGCTATTCAGACGCGTGAAGAATCTGAGGACTACACATTCCAACGTCATATTTCTTATGATCCCGGGTTAATGTTCAATAGCAATAAGTTAAATACAGCATATTCCAAGATAAATGCGATTTGTTAACCGATATCTGTTAAAATAAATTTGAGAAAACAGACGTAACTATAAAGCATTGTTAATCATTTAACGTGAAGAATTTGCCTTAAATAATAAAACAAAATAAGTTTATAAAAATTAATTCAAACACGAAAAGATAGATCTCCTGTTCACAAAGAAGTTATTCTACAAATTCTGTCATGTCCCACTCAAAATTAGGAGAAATAGTCTTGTTATTTTAGGTAAACATCGCTATAAAAGTTATGTAAATAAATAAATAATTAGCTTACCTAACTGTGAGTTGCAAAAAATCTGCTGTGTAAAATGTGCTGGGCATCCACACTGTTGGGACATAGAACATAAACAAATCAGAAGTACACACGATGCAATGATGACTTGCATCATTTTAAACATTAGACATAAAGTATACTTTGATAAAAAGTTTACATGTGCATGTCAGTTAGTACAGTCTTACATGTAGGTAAACACAATGCCATTAATCAAATACAAGTTAATCTACCGTCAGTCCACTTAGAAATTTAAAAATCCAGTTACACATCGAAAATATATATAGGTGTATAGTATACATAGTATACGCAATTTATAAAAAAAGTATAAAGGACAACAAGCATGCATGTTTTTCGATTATTTTAATTGTGGTTCTAAGAAAATCATCTTGGTGAAGAGTACTTAACCACATTTGGTTGAATTTTAAGTGAATAAAAACATCATGACAAAATAAAACCGCAAAACCACTCCCCTTTTGAAACACCAATGTGAGAGTTATGTCTCATCCCAGCAGAACATGCGTTTATTGGTTTTAACAAAGAAATCGCATGAGTACAAAAATATATGAGAAGAATATTGAAAAGCAACTTTGCACTTATATTAGCTCTCTGAGATTTATATATGACCGCTTATCATTCTCACCTAGATGGCAAACTAACGCTGGCCCATACCTAGAAAAAATATACACTTCATGTTCAAAATTCACTAAAAATACAAAACTTTGCTACTCTCTAAAAAACAATTGTTCATAAAATTTCGGGAACTTATACACTACTTTGTAAGATGAAAATGAACACTAGTGTAATATGGAAATTTGACAAGAAGAACCAGACACCATAGACTAATTATTTGTGAGTCATATGGCCTCCAGTCTCTGATATGTAATAAACAGTTGGTTTTTTAAAATGAAAAATGTTGACATGCCTTTGAATATTTGTCTTGTAGAATGATGAAGCATGTGTTTTCATAGACCCATTCAGTTGTGTATTTCTGATGTGTATCAACTACCTCACAGCCCTATCGTCACGTTTAACCCATTGGCTGATATAACCCTCGACTGAATCCATCAGTATTTTGAAGTTATGTTTCTTATTGATTGGTTTAGGCTCTTAATATGTTGGTCCTATGAGTAACACATTTCGCCGAAAAATGTTATTGACGCCATTTAGTTCACCAGTGATAACGTGGCGAACTGGCTATAACATGAATGACTAAGTAACACAAGTGCAATAAGTAAAACTGTGAGCTACTGCTCACTGATGATACCCCCGCCGTAATATTTCAGTAAACAGGAAGTTGTTGAGTGATGAATCTGAAAACGCATCACACAGTAAAGCTGACTTATATAAACCCTGAAACCAAATTTCAGAAATCCTTGTCAAGTAGTTCCTGAGAAAAATGTGACGAAAATTTTCAACTTGGCTATCATGTGTAAAATAATACAAGTGTTCGGTAAACAGGAAGTTGTTGAGTGATGAATCTGAAAACGCATCACACGGTGTAACGTACTCATATAAACCCTGAAACCAAATTTCAGAAATCCTTGTCAAGTAGTTCTTGGGAAAAATGCGACGAAAATTTTCAACTTGGCTATCATGTGTAAAATAATACAAGTGTTCGGTAAACAGGAAGTTGTTAAGTGATGAATCTGAAAACGCATCACACGGTGTAACTTACTCATTTAAACCCTGAAACCAAATTTCAGAAATCCTTGTCACGTAGTTCCTGAGAAAAATGCGACGAAAATGTTCAACTTGGCTATCATGTGTAAAATAGTACAAGTGTTCGGTAAACAGGAAGTTGTTGAGTGATGAATCTGAAAACGCATCACACGGTGTAACTGACTTATATAAACCCTGAAACCAAATTTCAGAAATCCTTGTCAATTAGTTCTTGAGAAAAATGCGACGAAAATTTTCAACTTGGCTATCATGTGTAAAATAATAGAAGTGTTCGGTAAACAGGCAGTTGTTGAGTGATGAATCTGAAAACGCATCACACGGTGAAAATTACTTATTTAAACCCTGAAACCAAATTTCAGAAATCCTTGTCAAGTAGTTCCTGAGAAAAAAGCGACGAAAATGTTCAACTTGGCTATCATGTTTAAAATAGTACTAGTGTTCGGTAAACAAGAATTTGTTGAGTGATAAATCTGAAAACGCATCACACGGTATAGTTGACTATTATAAACCCTGAAACCAAATTTCAGAAATCCTTGTCAAGTAGTTCCTGACAAAAATGTGACGAAAATTTTCAATTTGGCTATCATGTGTAAAATAATACAAGTGTTCGGTAAACAGGAAGTTGTTGAGTGATGAAACTGAAAACGCATCACACGGTGTAACTGACTTATATAAACCCTGAAACCAAATTTCAGAAATCCTTGTCAAGTAGTTCTTGAGAAAAATGTGACGAATATTTTCAATTTGGCTATCATGTGTAAAATAATACAAGTGTTCGGTAAACAGGAAGTTGTTGAGTGATGAATCTGAAAACGCACCACACGGTGTTACTTACTTATATAACCCTGAAACCAAATTTCAGAAATCCTTGTCAAGTAGTTCCTGAGAAAAACGCGACGAAAATATTCATGGGACGGACGGACTGACGGATGGACTGACCTGACGGAAGGACAGACAGAGGTAAAACAGTATACCCCTCTTTTTTAAAGCGGGGGTATAATCAGAAGGTTTAGAATTGAGGTCCTCAATATTTAGATCATGCATCATGCAAACACGTGTTTGCATTTGAAAATTGGTTCGGTATAGGTATAAGAAATGGGAAGGTTCAGACTGATCTTTCAAATAGGGAAATATATTCGATCGAACGGATTTATGAAAAGGAATTTGCCCAAGTTTATAAAGGAGAGTTTTCAAAATGAAGTTTTCAAAGGGGTAGTGAATACAATATCATGCAAATGCGATGAATACATAAAGGCTTTTGTATAAATGGCAGGAGGTCATTAATAGAAACATTATGTGATAAGGTGATGTATAATGACAATGAACATAACTGTGTCTACGTCGAGGTGCATAGTTACAAATAGTCATCAAATTCAACGAGCTACAGGAAGGACTAGATATAATACCTATACCAACATTTCTGTCATTGAAACCATATGGTGTCGCATTTCCTAATTCTCGAATACAGTAGTCTTCTTTAAGTCTACGGAGAGGTGTTGCAAGATGAGGATTTCAATTATAAGTCCTATGGTTTGTTTTCTAATACTGTGTGACGTCCTTCGGAATTTCATGCATTGTAAGCCACTTGGCGGTGTCCTCCGGGACAAAATGTACATCAACAGTGACATTGACCGACAGGGTGGTTGTAAATTAGGTTTATTTTTAATTGGAATCAAGGACATATCAACATGATTATAAAGAAATGAATGAACAGAACTGAGCCAATAATACATTTTTTTCCGGAAAAAAAATCAAACGTTAATCAGATGATTATTATAATCAGTTCACAATAGATTAGATCAAGGATGTAACAACCTATTTCCAACGTTATATACAGATCTAACGATAAACCAACATAAAATAACCCTACCCTTTTCGTTAACAAGCAGGGAATAGATATTGAAAAATATACTTTTACCACTGTAACACTTTCAATGCGGTACTTGTGTTTTAAAAGAGAGGAAAATACATGACCGGTACTAAATAATAGGTATAAACTGTACCACTTTAACTTTTATTATAATGTATTTTTGTTTACGACCAACAAGAATCAATTTGGAGTTTTAGTTTACATTATGGTAAGGTCCGGGGAAGGAGACTTTTTAAACTGTTGTAATCACTTTATTGTCCAATCAAAACTCTCGGCCCTCTACAACTCATAAATGTTGCAGAGGCGGATTTAGAGGGTTTTTCAGGGCCCCCCCCCCCCCCCTTTATGGAAAAATTTGGTTGATTATATAGGGAATCACTGAGGCATGACTGGAGCGGGCCCCCTCTTAAGCAGTCAGTGGGCCCTCTCTTATGAAAATTTCTGGATCCGCCACTGTGTTGCATGTGTAAATAAGTAAACATGTATGACTATAAGTAATAAAAAAAAGCCAGTCGTACCATAAAATCACAAAACAATGATAACAGGATGTTTTGATTTACTAATTGAAACTACAAATAGTTTGAAAAAGATATTTATTAATCATCGCAATTTAGCAACCTTGCCATTTGCATTGGCCGTATCCATCTCTGTCACACATGCTATCATAGCCACATGATGGTGGTGCACGTCTACACTCGTTTTGAGGTCGTGGCCATGATGGTGGATTTTCATTTTTACAGGGAATCTAAAAATAAACGAAAACAGTTTAAATACATATGCACGTTATTTTTATCTGAAATGTTATTCTTAGTGTTACCATGAATACCACAAAAATTTGATTCTCTACTTTGAATTAATTTGAAGTCAATGCCGAATCTTAATGTGAAATATGTTAAAGCGCATGTTACTCTCCTAGATGTCAGGTAAATTTATGTTGTAGTAATGCTTTGATTGCACCCTTTCTAAATTTATTAAATATAATTTTCTATAAACTAAAAATTATCCATTCATAGTATAAATCATTGGGTCAATGAACAAATCATATCAAAAGTGTCACATTCGTACTGTATAAAGATGTAGACAAAGTGATGATATGCATGTAATCACGTTTTTGGAAGGGACTGATTGTCTTATTTACGTTCCAGATGTGAATTTCTTAAACCAAGTGTGAACAATTTCTATAGACCTCAACAGTCTACGATGAACAATTTTTGTAGAACCCTTTAAGAACGCTTACCAGTTATATAAACTTATCCGTAAATATCTTAACCTATATATTTTCTATATAGGCAAATATGTTTATACCGTATATTTAAAGAACAATGTGTGTCGGTTTTCCGGCTTCATCTCAGTAAATCAAATTTAAATGTATTGCTTTCTGCTCAATGAACATTTACTACTACACAACTATTTTGTAATCGTTATTAGACAATGACGAAAAAGGGTAATAGTAAGACAAAACAATATTCATTCGAAAACATATTACAAAAAACTAATCAGGCACTTATTAACATGAAAGACAATACCATAAGATTAAGCTATACAGGTCTCTATGTTATGGCCTAGGGAAGGTTAAGCAGTGTATGTTCAACTTGTGGAATGTACATACCCTACAACCACAGTTTTCTCTATACTTTCCAGCAATACCTTCTAATAAATCTCGACTTGCACAGCTGGCAATAACCCGGAGGTAACACATGCTATTGCTCATTTTTCCATCAAAATGACTAGCTATTTTATGAAAATAAAAAAACCAAAGTAAGTGTTATGTTAGCTCCATTATCCTACATAGAAATAATTTCGTTATCATAGCTCAAAAATATGCAATAATGTCATTTGGTTGACCATTCCCTTGTCATTGCGCCTGTCAGTTCATGACAGTAAAAACAATATAGTAGGTATTGCTTTTATATATTAAAAATAAAGGTCGAGTATATTAGTAAAGTCGTATATCTAGTAAGTTTTTGATAATCTGAAGTGAAAAACGAACAACCATTTCAGAAAATATCAATTAAAAAAGTAATCTTTACTTATGTGTAGTTGTCCAAAAACATGACCTTATTGCTTTTTATTCAAAGAAAAATAGAATACAAGTACAAGCAAATACAATAAACGAATGGAAGGGTACCACCAAATAATTCATCGCTGTGTCAATACATTGTTTTCCAGAAGTTCCACTGTCCATTGTTTATTGAAAACGATTTATCAGTTTCTTAAACAAAAAAGAAAAGCACATTGTGTCAATGAAAGTTAGCCAATAAAAACTCGGCTATTCGTGTCAAGCAAAAGCGTTTCAAAAAAACAGTGGTCTTCGATATTTGTTAAGAGAAGAAATTGTAACTTATCTATTTAAACACGCACAGTGTACATTCGTAGAAGGGGTGGGTGGACTCAAATCAAAGATATCATATTCTTTAACTTCGGTCCACACCTTAACAAATTGATTGATTGATAGAGTTTAACGCCACTTTCAGCACTCTTGGCTATATCGTTGCGGCTAATTTGCATACGCCCATTTACGGAACGTATGGTGGTATACCGTTGTCCGTCCGTCCGTCTGTCCGTCGTCAACATTTCGGACAATAACTCAACTTTTAATCAACTTTTAATGAAACTTTGGTGAATGGTTTATATCTATTGACGTAATCTCCCTTTCGATTGTTTTATTAATTTAAAATTTTTCCGAGTTATGGGATTTTATTCATAAAAAGGAGGGTTTTTCCAGTTTTCTGAAAATAACTGCTTTGAGCACTTTTCATGGAACTTTTGTGACTGGTTTATATCTATTAAAATAAGTTCCCTTCAGATTTTTTTTTATATATTTTTGATATGACATTGAGTAGTTAAGGAACTTTATTCATTACAAAAGACACGAGCGTATCATGTGCTCAAGGCGCAGCTCTTTTTTGTTGACGTAACCGGAGTGCAACCATCGATCTCCAGAAGGAAAACTGGCAATCTTAGTCAGTTGAGATCAAAGTAGAACTCACATACCACGTGTGGGATTCGAATTCACAACCTAAGCCAATTAAAAGACACCTGTCCATACGTTTGACAACAACACATGGGTGACAACACTACAAGTTGTGTGTAAATTATTGTACATAAATCTACATTAATAATGTTTCCAAACTCTTTAAAGTGTTGTATCAATTCAAATTTGTTAAGTTTGATCCAGCAGTTTCGGTTCCGGTTTTCCAATTGTATTCGTATAAAGAAATATATTTATTCCAAGTTGGAGAATATTTTATGTAGAAAAGCAAAACAAAACACCAAAAAATTTAGAAGCATTAAAAGTATCTATATTTTTTTGGTTAAGCAGCAATGAATTTGGCTAAAAATTTTCATTATACCTGAAAAAAATAAGTCGATCCTATTTCAAAAACTACTGGTCCACACGCTGAGGCATGTTTTGGTGTCTGCTGTAACGTTTTATTTGACAATGTTTCACACCTCTTTACCCTGTTAAATAATTAAAATACATTGTAGTAATAGTTTTAATTATAAAACTGAAATTCATTGTTTATACTAAACTGCATCTTATGCACCTTTAATAAATAACACGTTATCAGTAAATGTGTCAAAAGAAATAATAAAGTCAAAAGTGAAATTGAATAAAGCATTTCACATATTTAAATAGTACAAATAGGTCAAACAAATCATTTTATAAATGGTACAGTTACTACTTTTTTACAGATTATTCAGAAATGGGGCAGTTACGTAGACAAAAAATGTTATAGAAATATCTGATAAAATAAAACTACACATGGCACTTGTTCTTGTATCTTCCTTCGTTTAACAAGTCATTAGAATACCTTTATAGAGATGCCCGGCGTTTGACATTTTCACTTCTTGACACCTAAGATTCGGAATTTATCTGGCAGACATAGTACTTATTTGTTATACGAATTATGACATATCTTTTTAGGGAAATTTTACTTATTCCGGAATACGAGAGATAACCCAATTTTAATCATTTCATCAATACTACAAATGCATTACAAGTTACGATATTAACAGGAAATAAATATTATGTCATTTGAATTCTTCGGAGCGTATATTTATTATTTATCTGCAAGCCGGAAACGAACATGTAAGTGTTCTGAAACTAAGGCTGAAATTTCTAAAACAAAGTTCGACTGAGGCTGTCTAAATTTTTCGGGTAAGTATCATGCAAAAAAATGTTCATTGTATTTGTCTTTCCGTAAAATTATCTGATGAAGGTTATGCGATGTACGTACCAAAATCTGAATAAGGTTTTTTTTTACCCGGATGGTCTTGAATGGTATCAACTTCCAACTTACACATTACAACATTTGATCATGTATTAAACACCATAACAGCATTCCTCATGCAAGCAAGTCCATTTCCCTTTTCCCATTTGAATCATACACGATTCGCAGCATACAAAAAACCAACAATGTAAAATGTTTGAAGCAACCAACTAAACTTTAAAAGCCAAACGACATTCATCATTCCCAGCTATAAAACCAGGTTTAAGCAACTATTTTATACATAAGGAAAGGTATGTTCCAAGTCAGGAATATGACAGTTGTTTTCCATTCGTTTGATGTGTTTGAACGTTTGAATATGCCACTTTCCGTTTTGAATTTTCCTAGGAGTTCGGTATTTTTGTTATTTTACTTTGTTTTCCCATGCACTAGACACCATTCCCAATTGCTCCATACACAATTACAACATTCACATTTACATCAATTTACTCATTTACACCATACACGTTTACATGCGTTTAGGGCTATAATACTTTCTGTCATCAAACTTAAAAATCCTTAACAAAATTTATTATTCTAAAGCCTTAAATATTGGGTACAAGAATTTTGATAAATATGTGCATCATTAAATAAATTCAATATAACTCAACAAAAGCTCACATGCTGTAGTAGATTTTATATAAGATAAGTCTAATATTTCAAACAATCTTTAAAGTTTTTATGTTTGACATTCATGATAGGCGGAAGATACCATAGGAATATTCAAACTTATAAAGCCACAACCCCATACAAAAAATCGAAAACGACAAAAGGACAAACACACGTCGACAAAACATAACAAAGAAAGCGTAAGACAGAGCAGCGAGAGCAGCGAGAGCAGCAGGAACACAACCAAAAACCGGGAGTGATATCAGGTGCTCCAAAATACCAATTATAACTTTTGATTTAATAGCCAATCTGAAAGCAAAGTTTATTAGTTGGCTGTGAAATTGAAAAGGCTAATATCTATGGTGGGTTTTTTTAACATTGTTATGGTTGCTAAATGTAATTTGGAATGTAGATAAAAATATTTACTCCAGCAGATATTTAATATCTTTTCGAAAGTGTACGTAACTGTCAGAACATAACAAATGTATTAGAGTTGTAAAAATGGTTATAACGAATGAAGCTGGTTTTGCCGGTAACAGTTGTCGGAGAAAAGATAACCAATGAACAAAAACAAAGTTACAAAGCAGATACAAAAACAACAGAAAATTTTACACTCAAACAATTTTCGGTAGAATAGTTTTTTGAATCATAAATGTCCGTTTCTTACAGAGATTAAGGTAACTTCCGACACTAAGGGAGAGAACAACGTTTTACTGATATAAGACTGGTTTACGATTTACGTCATTGTATATATCGCGTATATTACGATGTCACGGTAACAGCTTTGTTATCGTCTGGTAACGGATAAACAATACTAGTTAGTCAATATATCCGCTTTTTTCGTCATGGGTCGCATACGTAGGGAAGGAAAGTTCATCAAAAAGGATAAATTAAAGCGCTCTTTGAGAATGAATAATTTAAATAGCCTCAGTCGGGAAGACCACACTTATATTCTCACTAATAATTCGCAAGATGTAAGTTTTTGTGAGTTGGACGTTGGACAATCGGTGTCCGTTCACAGTGACCCTTCTTTTGACGAAACATGGAAAGAAGGTCGTCGGCTAGTCGAATTGCTCCACCTCGCACAGAATCTCTTCTGCAAAATGTGTAACTGTCCCTTGCAGTTAATTGACACTGTCGGCGAACGGAAGTACGGCCTTGGTAGCATTTTGTTCATACCCTGTAGTAGCTGCAGTGCTTGTAACAGTGTGGAAACGGGAAAAAGAAGTGAGACTGGTGCATTTGTAGTGAATTCAAAAGTTGCATTAGGTAAGAATTTACAAGATTCTCTCTAGATTCTGTATACTAATTTCTTTTGGGTGGAGAAGGTGTATGGTTTCATGTCTTGTATAAATGAACCTGCCCCACACCTCTCCTTCTCTTTCTTGAATTCCCCTCTGTTCTGGTCTGGGGTTTATGGGGTTTGGGATGAAAAAGTGTAATTTTCAGGGGAAGTGCTGCCCAAATTTTTTATGAATCTGGACTTAGTCATTTTTATGCATTTTTTTCAAATTTTTACCCCCCTCCCCCTTCTAGTTCAAATTAGAGGAAATAATTCCCATTTGTTGGGTTATGCCTAACCGGTTTTAAAAGGTAGTCTCCTTACGCATGCAGTTTATGGATATAACATATTTATATACTATGTATACTTTTAGTGACCATTTTGGTGAACTTTATCAAATCACACATTTCAAAACTTTTAACTGCACAAGGTGGATGAATAAAGAAAAATGACTTTTAGTATATGTTGGTATATAATTTCCTTTAGGGTATACAGTATTATTAGTGAATCATTAGTCATTTTAAGAAATTTATATGAGTCTTTGATCTATAAGTATAAATGTAGATATGGATTTACAATCATATAGATAAATTATATATAAAAAAAATATTATATTCCAAAGAAGAAAGAACTTGGAATATTTTATTGTAATCTTTAGATTTAGCATTATCTAACTTACCAATGCAGACTGTTGTTTCACATCAAGCACAAAATCAATGGTTTTAGAATGAAAATACTTGATTTTTCAGGAATGATACATGCAGGAATTGGGGCCACACATGTCAACAATTTTCTTGGTGCATTGAATGTACCTCCTGTGAATTCCTCCACCATCAAGAAAAAGGAAAATGAAATTGGGAAAAAAATATTTGAAGTTGCAAGAGAATCATGTCAATCAAATCAAAAGAAGGAACAGTTAATGAGTAATGGAAAGGTAATTTAATATTTAGGCAGATATTTTTTAAGCAATGTTTTGATAATTTTACAAAGTATATATATAAAGAACAATGAGGACTGTATATTTAATTTTGCCCTTGCTGTCAGAGAAAATTAATTAGGTTTATACATGATTCAGATCTTGGTAATAATTTTTGGTTCAGGGTCAATATTTCAAATTAGATAAATTGCTTCGCTGAGCGCAGCTTGATATGACAGCAGAGATCCAAACTTGAACAGTTGGGGCAAAATTGGATACAATATTCACACTTGATACAGGTCTGCATTGGGATGTAATTAAATATTTGACACATAACAAGTTTGTGACACAGTGTAACTGTGGTCAAGGTACTAAGAATTGGTTACAGGATCAGAATTTATATTCAATTGTTTTCTTTTGTGCAATACACTATGCTGTTGGGAATTGACTCCCCACCCCCTCCTAAATTTTTTTTAGCACCCTCTTTTTTGCCTTTTGTGCAAATTACACTATGCTGTTGTGAATTGACCCACCAAAATTTTTAACCCCCCCTTTTTTTTTAATTTCTGAAATCTGAATTGAGAAAAAAATCCCCCCCACCTTTTTTCACCTTCCCTTCCACTGTATTTGAACTTGGCTCTACATAGGATGCAACGCCTCGCTTTATACCTGGGGTTGAAGTCATAAAACTTTGCTCAGTGCTCAGAGCACACAAATCATGCTCGAAAAATGAAATCCAAGATTTTGATTGGTTAATTTTGGAGTATGAGTACAAAAAACTGACTCAAAAGTTTTATGACCGCAAGGCCTGGTTCTTAGCCATTTACAACTAACATTCATATTTCAAAACAATGTATGGTTATTCTATATTTATTATTACAAATAACAATGTTGACAGCCTAATTTTCCATTTAATTTTATATTTACTATGTTTATAGCTACAAAATAATTGAAAACAGCATGTTCTTTCATTAATTCTATTTTTTGTCATTTAGGTTGAAGCCAGTTTTGATGCAGGATGGCAAAAGCGAGGTACTGGTTGGAATTATGATAGTAATACAGGTAAATTTAAACAGTTTAGGCTTTAACTTGATTAATAAAAAAAAATGTTCCCTATACATGTAATACATCACACACACACAAGAATAAAGCAATTATGACAAGAAATGATTGTAACAGGATGCTGTTACGAAGTCTCCCAAACGAAGCCCCATAATTCGTAATTCCCAGGGTCGCCTGACATTGGGCAACGTCCAGTGAAAGTTGGTTTGTACCAGTAAAGTTATATGCATTAGTGATGCCTGGGGACTAACCTTGTATATCATTCAAATCATCTTGGCATGACAAACCAGAATATATATGGTTTAGGGGTGGGGATCTCGACCATTTACAAGATACTAGAACATTGGGGGTGGGGAGGAACCCCTGGGGACTGACCCTATACGTCATTCAAATGTTCATTACATGACGAACAGGAATATATATGGTTTAGGGGTGGGGATCTCAACCATTTACAAGATATTAGAACATTGGGGGTGGGGGGAACCCCTGGGGACTGACCGTATATGTCATTCAAATGTTCGAGACATGACAAATAGGAATATATATGGTTTAGGGGTGGGGATCTCAACCATTTTCAAGATATTAGAACTTTCTCAAATGGCAGGGGGTGGGGGTGACCCCTGGGGACTAACCCTGTATTTCATTTGATGTGCTTTATCATGACAAACCAGAATATATATGGTTTAGGGGTGGGGATCTCAACCATTTACAAGATATTAGAACTTTCTCAAATGGCAGGGGGTCGGGATGACCCCTGGGGACTAACCCTGTATATCATTCAAACCATCTTAGCATGACAAACCAGAATATATATGGTTTAGGGGTGGGGATCTTGACCACTTACAAGATATTAGAACTTTCTTAAATGGCAGGGGGTGGGGGTGACCCCTGGGGACTAACCCTGTATTTCATTTGATGTGCTTTATCATGACAAACCAGAATATATATGGTTTAGGGGTGGGGATCTCAACCATTTACAAGATATTAGAACTTTCTCAAATGGCAGGGGGTCGGGATGACCCCTGGGGACTAGCCCTGTATATCATTCAAACCATCTTAGCATGACAAACCAGAATATATATGGTTTGGGGGTGGGGATCTCGACCATTTACAAGATATTAGAACTTTCTCAAATGGCAGGGGGTCGGATTGACCCCTGGGGACTAACCCTGTATATCATTCAAACCATCTTAGCATAACAAACCAAAATATATATGGTTTAGGGGTGGGGATCTTGACCACTTACAAGGTATTAGAACTTTCTTAAATGGCAGGGGGTGGGGGTGGCCCCTGGGGACTAACCCTGTATTTCATTTAATGGGCTTTATCATTTAGAACATTTTCAATTAAAAAGATTGTGTCTATCACAAACAGTTTGCAATTTATAATCATTTGAAAATTTTAAAAAATAAAATCCCATAGGGTTCTATAGTAAAACCCTCTTTTCTTTTTGCCCCTCAAAATACCCCTTTATAAACCCCATTGCACAAACAAAACCCTGATTGCACCACTAGACATGTTAGTGTAACATATTGTGAAACCCTAAGTTAATCTGACAAGCGGTTTTGGAGAACGGGTGCGGACAAGTTCAAATTTAAAAGCGGCGGAAGAGGAAGAAAAAGAAGGAGAAGAAGAATAATAATAATAAGAAATGATTGTAACAGGATGCTGTTACGAAGTCTCCCAAACGAAGCTCCCATAATTCGTAATTCCCAGGGTCGCCTGACATTGGGCAAAGTCTAGTGAAAATTGGTTTGGTCCAGTAAAGTTATATGCATTAGTGATGCATGGGGACTAACCCTGTATATCATTCAAATCATATTGGCATGACAAACCAGAATATATATGGTTTAGGGGTGGGGATCTCGACCATTTACAAGATATTACAACTTTCTCAAATGGCAGGGGGTCGGGATGATCCCTGGGGACTAACCCTGTATATCATTGAAACCATCTTAGCATGACAAACCAGAATATATATGGTTTAGGGGTGGGGATCTTGACCACTTACAAGATATTAGAACTTTCTTAAATGGCATAGGGTGGGGGTGACCCCTGGGGACTAACCCTGTATTTCATTTGATTTGCTTTATCATGACAAACAAGAATATATATGGTTTAGGGGTGGGGATCTCGACCATTTACAAGATATTACAACTTTCTCAAATGGCAGGGGGTTGGGATGACCCCTGGGGACTAACCCTGTATATCATTCAAACCATCTTAGCATGACAAACCAGAATATATATGGTTTAGGGGTGGGGATCTTGACCACTTTCAAGACATTAGAACTTTCTTAAATGGCATGGGGTGGGGGTGACCCCTGGGGACTAACCCTGTATTTCATTTCATGTGCTTTATCATGACAAACCAGAATATATATGGTTTAGGGGTGGGGATCGCCACCATTTACAAGATATTACAACTTTCTCAAATGGCAGGGGGTCGGGATGACCCCTGGGGACTAACCCTGTATATCATTCAAACCATCTTAGCATGACAAACCAGAATATATATGGTTTAGGGGTGGGGATCTTGACCACTTACAAGATATTAGAACTTTCTTAAATGGCATGGGGTGGGGGTGACCCCTGGGGACTAACCCTGTATTTCATTTCATGTGCTTTATCATGACAAACCAGAATATATATGGTTTAGGGGTGGGGATCTCGACCATTTACAAGATATTACAACTTTCTCAAATGGCAGGGGGTCGGGATGACCCCTGGGGACTAACCCTGTATATCATTCAAACCATCTTAGCATGACAAACCAGAATATATATGGTTTCGGGGTGGGGATCTCGACCATTTACAAGATATTAGAACTTTCTCAAATGGCAGGGGGTCGGGATGACCCCTTAGGACTAACCCTGTATATCATTCAAATCATCTTAGCATGACAAACCAGAATATATCTGGTTTAGGGGTGGGGATCTTGACCACTTACAAGGTATTAGAACTTTCTTAAATGGCAGGGGGTGGGGGTGACCCCTGGGGACTAACCCTGTATTTCATTTAATGGGTTTTATCATTTAGAACATTCTCAATTAAAAAGATTGTGTCTATTACAAACGGTTTTCAATTTATAATCTTTTGAAAATTAAAAAAAATAAAATCCCATAGGGTTCTATAGTAAAACCCTCTTTTCTTTTTGCCCCTCAAAGTACCCCTTTATAAACCCCATTGCACAAACAAAACCCTGATTGCACCACTAGACATGTTAGTCTAACATATTGTGAAACCCTAAGTTAATCTGACAAGCGGTTTTGGAGAACGGGTGCGGACAAGTTCAAATTTAAAAGCGGCGGAAGAGGAAGAGGAAGAGGAAGAAGAATAATAATAATAATAAGAACTGAGCAAAAACAATAAGTCTTCCCAAACTTCGTTTGGGAGACTTAATAATAAGAACTGAGCAAAAACAATAAGTCTTCCCAAACTTCGTTTGGGAGACTTAAATATAAATTGCAATATAAACATATGTATAAAAAAATAGAAGGATATGGAGTAAATGTACATGTACATGCAACAAAATTGCAAACTATACAGAGACAAAATAAAAAAATATTATCAATAAACAGGGCTTTTTTCCTGTTCTTCATCTTGACAGTTCAGTAATGAAATATTAACCTTCAAAACTGTAATGCAACAATATCATACATATGACTATAACAGCTGTCATCACAAAGAATTCTAGAATTTGTCATAGGTTGCCCACTAAAACAATAACATATTCTTTTCCTATAAAACTACTGGGTCAATCTAATTTGTCCACAATTATCATTAGGTAAATAAAAACTAAAGGTCACATTGGAGCTTGTAAATTCTTAACATAATAATTACTTTGTGATAACTTTAGAAGCATTCGCCTATGTTCCTGGGATGCTTCACTTTGCGTTTTTTTTGTTGTAATTTTTATATTATAAGGAATCTGAATTTTATTCAGTTTTATATGAGTTAATTCATCAGAAGAAAATTTAATGGATAGATACATTCAAGTAATTGTTGATATGCAAATCATATTAGAATATTTGTAATATTGCATACATGTATCTCAAAATAATATTTTTATCGTAAATTTTAGGACATGCCAGCATGATCGGTACAATGACGGGTAAAGTCATAGACTTCTCTCATAGAAGCCGGAATTGCAAAGTCTGTGAATACCATATGGGTAGAAAAGAAACAGTCCCTTCACATGACTGCAGCAATAATTGGCAGGGTACAAGTAAAGGCATGGAACCTGATATGGCTTTAGAGATGACCCACAATCTGAAGGATAATGGATGTCCTATTCATGTTCTCCATGCTGATAATGATTCGACCACAACAGCAAGATTAAAGGTTGATTTTAAAGAACTGCAAAAGAAAGATGACCAGAACCATATCAAGAAAGGTTTTTCTAAGAAACTGTATGATTTGTCTAAAACGTTTAAGGAATTGAAACACCCAGAAGTCATACCATACCTTGTACGATGCTTTATGTATGCCATCAAAGAAAATAACAATTCCTCAGAAAACATAAAGAGTGCCTTCAGCAGATTAGTCCAACACATTTTTGGAGACCACACTTTATGTACAGATGCTGAATGGTGTACATATAAGAATGACCCAGAAAATTTTAGGTACATGTAAGACATAATAACACACCTTAAAATTGGTATGCATATGAAAATAAGAAGGCGTGGTAAGATTGCCATGCAAAGAGACAACTCAGTCTTCCTTAGGAAAATTGCAGACATTGTGTCAGCAATAATAGGTTACTGTAAATGTATACACCTTCATTAATGAGAAAAAGACTACATCTCATAAAAAAGGATCTTATGTTTGTTAAGTAATGACTATACATGTAAATACTTGATTAAATCCAATTTATGTAAAAAATGTATATATAAATGCAAATAACATAGAAAACAAAAAAATATTCACATCATTTTTTATACGACCGCAAAAAAAATTTTGTGGTTGTATATTGGTATGACGTTGGCGTCGTCGTCGTCGTCCGGCGTCGGCGTCCGAAGACACATTGGTTTTCGCACTCTAACTTTAGTTTCAGTCAATGGATCTCTATGAAATTTTACCATAAGGTTCAATACCACAAAAGGAAGGTTGGGATTGATTTTGGGGGTTATGGTACCAACAGTTAAGGAATTAGGGGCCAAAAATAAGCATTTTTGTAACTTCCAGACATAACTTGTGTGTTAGTGTATGGATCTCTCTGACATTGTACCACAAGGTTCCATATCACAAAGGGAATGCTGGGATTGATTTTGGGGGTAAATGCCTCAAAATTTTAGGAATTAGGGGCCAAAAAAGGGGCAAAAAACAAGCTTTTTTATAAGGACAAATACTTTAGTATAAAACATAATTTAAAGCAGTGTAAGGGAGATAAATCAAATACATCATTTGTATTACCTCCCTTACACTGCTTTTAAATTATGTATAAAGTAATGGTTAATGAACAATTAAGACAATTTAAAACAGTGTAAGGGAGGTAATCCACATACAACATTTTGATTACTTCCCTGACACTGCTTTTTAATTATGTTTAAAGAAATGCATATTTATAAAGGAAGACCAGTAAAAATATCTGCAAATGTTGCATCTTTTAAAAAAAAAAAATCCATATGAAAGATTTGACACCATATTTTAAATTCTATTATTAAATAGATTAAGTTAGCACTATGGTAAATTTAAATGGGTAATTATGGTTGCAAATTCCATTGGAAATTTGAATTGAGATTATGACCATATCTTGAGGGAAAGAATTTTTTTTTTTGGGGGGGGGGGGGGAGGGGAGGGTAAAAAGAAATTGTGGGGGGTCAATTTTTTCTCATTTAAGATTTCAGAAATTAAAAAGAATTATTCTTCAAATATTTTTTTTTTTTTTTCAAATTTCAAATATTGAAAAATTTCAAGAAGTAATCTTTAATTGCACAGTATGGCGCATTAGATTTGTAAAATCTTTGACCACATTTATGTTTTTGTTATGCCAAATCTGACCGTGAATTTAGATTTTTAATTTTGGGTCCAGTTTTTAAATTGGTCTACATTAAGGTCCAAAGGGTCCAAAATTAAACTTAGTTTGATTTTAACAAAAATTGAATATATGGGGTTCTTTGATATGCTGAATCTAAACATGTATTTAGATTTTTGATTTTGGGCTCAGTTTTCAAGTTGGTCCAAATTGGGGTCCAAAATTAAACTTTTTTGTTTGATTTCAACAAAAATGAATATATGGGGTTCTTTGATATGCTGAATCTAACCATGTATTAAAATTTTTTATTTGTGGGCCCCGCTATCAAATTGGTTCATATTGAGGTCAAAAGGGTCCAAAATTAAACTTTGTTTTATTTCATCAAAAATTGAATTATTGGGGTTCTTTGATATGCCAAATCTAACCGTGTATTTAAATTTTTAATTTTAAGTCCCGTTTTTTAAATTTGTCTACTTTGAGGTCCAAAGGGTCCAAAATTAAACTTAGTTTGATTTTAACAAAAATTGAATTCTTGGGGTTCTTTGATATGCTGAATCTAAACATGTGTTTAGATTTTTGATAATGGGCCCAGTTTTCAAGTTGGTCCAAGTTGGGGTCCAAAATTAAACTTTGTTTGATTTCAACAAAAATTGAATATATGGGGTTCTTTGATATGCTGAATCTAACCATGTATTTCGATTGTTTGGCCCCGTTATCAAATTGGTCCATATTGAGGTCAAAAGGGTCCAAAATTAAACTTTGTTTGATTTCATCAAAAATTGAATTCTTTGGATTCTTTGATATGCTGAATCTAACCATGTATTTAGATTTTGGATATTGGACCATAATAGGTAAATTAAAAAATTTTAAGATCCTAGACCACATTCATTCTGTGTCAGAAACCTATGCTGTGTCAAATATTTAATCACAATCCAAATTCAGAGCTGTATCAAGCTTGAATGTTGTGTCCATACTTGCCCCAACTGTTCAGGGTTCAACCTCTGCGGTCGTATCAAGCTGCGCCCAGCGGAGCATTTTATTACCACTTTTATTTAGCAATGACATTTCATATTTGCTATGTAGATTTTACATTTATAAAAGCTTAGCTTCAAGCGGGTCATATCAATCGTGTTGTGATGCCAAAAGAAAAATCTATAAATAATACTATTTAAAGTCTCTGATTGATTATATAATAAAAATTATATCAATGACAAATTTTGTTATAATTAGTAGTATAATTATGACTGAATAAATAGTCAATGATAAATCTTACAGGGTGATGGATCATATAAATATGAAACAGTACACTACAAATATATATAAAGTGCTATATATAAATATTTAAAAAATATTTCATATATTATTGTTTACTTTTAGATATAAGAGTTTGCCAAATGGTGAATCTCTCTCCAATGATGCCCTAAAAAAAGAGATATCTACTTTGATGGAGAAATATAGTACTAGAGCTGGAACATTGCAGAATATGGGATCAACACAAGGAAACGAAAATTTCAACCAGATTGTGGCAAGCAAAGCCCCAAAGTCACGGTAAATATTTGATAAAAAACTTATAACCAGACTGATTTATTTTAATATTTTTTTTCAATTATTGCTCACCTCAACAAAATGGTGAAGTGAACTTTTCTCAATTATTTTCTGTTAACTTTTTAAGATTTTAATTATATAAATCTTCTCCTCTGAATCTAAAGTTTACTTAGAACAGTTATCTTAAAAACAGCTATGAGTATATTTAAACTATTTGATCAACTTCTTATTACAGAAAATCTCTTACATCAGTGAAGAAATCGTCTGTTGACCCATTATAAGAGTTATTGCCCCTTAGTTTCAATTTTTATGACTATGTTTTATTTGAAATTTTGGCCAAGATTTGATAACAATGAGAACATTTGAAATGTAAGCACTCTATTGTGGCATGTAAGATGCATTCAATTCTATAGGGGTTGCACTTACATATTGATGAAAAGGATCATTTTTGTCTCGCCTTGATGGAGTCAAAAAGCGAGACATAGGTATGCTGTTTCCGGCGTCGGTGACGGCGGTGACGCCGTCAACAATGTATTAGTTTGTGATGAGGTCTAGTTCATGGTGAACCACTAGTGGTAGGTCAATGATATTTGGTATGCAGTTGTATTAGCATTGGCAGCACATCTCATTACCTTGGAGATTATTTAGCCCCGCCACCTCTGTCAAGGTCTATTGACTTTGAAACTTTTCACAGTTTACATGTATTAGTTTGTGATTAGGTCAATTTATGGGGAACCACTAGTGGTAGGTCAATAATATTTGGTATACAGTTGTATAAGCATTGGCATATCTCATTTCCATGGAGATTATTTGGCTCCACCCCCTTAGTCATGGTCTATAGACTTTGAAAATTTTTCTAAGTTAACATGTATTAGTTTGTGATTATGTCAGTTCAAGGGGAACCATTAGTGGTAGACCAATGTTAATTGATGTTCAGTTGTATAAGCATTAGCACATCTCATTTCCATGGAGAATATTTGGCCCCACCTCCTCAGTCATGGTCTATTTACTTTGAAACTTTTGCTTAGTTTACATGTATAAGTTTGTGATTAGATCAGTTTAAGATGAACTGCTAATGTTAAGTCAATGATATTTGGTATGCAAATTTATTGGCATTTGCAAGTATCGTTTCCATGGAGATTATATAGCCCCACCCCTGATCATGGTTCATTGACTTTTAAACTTTTACATAGTTTACAAGTTAATGTTTGTGTTTAGGTTTGTTTAAAGGGAACGACTTATAATAAGTCAATGGTATTTGGTATGCAGTTGTATTAGCATTGGCACATCTCATTCCGTGGAGATTGTTTAGCCATGTACCTTCAGTCATGGTTCATCGACTTTGAATATTTGCACAACTTACATGTTAAAGTATTGCTATTTTAATTTCAACATTTGCATTATCAAAATTACAAAAGGTGAGACATATCTCTGTGATAACAGTTTATGTTTTAACACACTAGCTTTACAGTAAAAGTTGTTTTGAGATTTCTATTGTAAGCTTGTCTTAATCTAAAAAAAAGAAGATGTGGTGTGATTGCCAATGAGACAATTCTACACAAGAGACCAAATAACACAGAAATTAACAGCTATAGGTCACCATATGGCCTTCAACAATGAGCAAAGCCCATACCGCATAGTCAGCAATAAAAGGTCCCAAAATGACAATGTAAAACAATTCAACTGAGAAAACTAATGGCCTTATTTATGTAAAAAAGATTTATGTTTTTTAACTCAATTATACATAATAACCTTGATTTAAAACCATGCTTTTATTATATATGTTTTATTTATAGGTTTTATGGTGGATCATCATCATTAAGCAATAGGTTATCTGCCTCAGTATTACAGAAGAATGAAGGCTATACATGGCTGTCAAAGGTAAATGAATAAATTAAACAAGTAATTGGAAACAAAATGGTAATAAAAAATATTTACGCAGAAAAAAATGGTCATCCCCTTTTAAATACAATCTGAAACAGGTTCTTGAATGGTAGTTAAACTGTTCATATGAAATAAACAACATGGAATAAACTAATTTTGCCATTTTTGAATGTGTCTTGCATGCATACACTTCAATGTTATGTTTCCATAGGCCATGTAAGACATTTTGGCAACATGTTTTATCAAAGTGTAAACCTAGAAAAGATACTCTTAAGGACCAATCACATTCAAGTGTGTGTTGATATGCTTATCATATAAGAATATTATGTCTACAAAAATTAATTGCATGATTTTTAGATAAAACATTTCAAATTTCTTGATGCTATACATTGTATATCCATGCTAACAAATCTTAAAATATTTCAGGTAAATGAGGCTTCTTTATTGTCTCCAGGACAACATACACTGAGAATTGGTAAAAGAATGGACAAGAAATTGAAAAGAGAAAGAGAAAGGCAAAATACCAAAGAATTTAAAAGAAGGCGTATTCAATTGAAAAAACAAAAGAAGAAATCTGAGTTTAGGTCAAAGGTAAAAGAAGGCACAACTTATGAAAACAATGCAGAAGTTAATGAATCTATGCCAGATATCCAGGAAATACCCTCACCATTAACCATAAATGAGTCTGACAACTTTGTATTTTTTGATTTGGAAACTACTGGTTTGTCAAGGAATAGTGACATAACTCAAATTGCTGCAGCCTGTGGTTCAAATACATTTCAACGTTATGTTATTCCAAGAACGGAAATTACTCAAGAAGCAAGTACGATAACTGGTATAACATTTTCACATTCTTCAAACAAAATGTATGTAAATGGAACAATAGTTGAAACATGTTCTGCTGAGCAGTCATTGCTAGATTTCATTGATTTTTTAAAACTTAATGACAGACCTATATTAGTTGGACATAATATTGCTAATTTTGATATGTTGGTGTTAGAGAATAGATTGAAGGAATTCCATTTGTTTTCAACTTTTTCTGCTTGTGCAAAAGGATTTATTGACACCTTAAAAGTTTCTAAACGTGTAATTCCAAAACATGAAGTAGAAAATTACAAGCAACAGACTCTTGTTAATGAAATTTTACAGTCGACTTACAGTGCACATAATGCAAAAGAAGATGTTCTTTCGTTGAAAAAACTTTTTGAGGTTAAGCTTCAGGAAAAATGTATCAATGAAGATGTTTACAATCTGAACTATAACCATGCAAAGATATCATTTAAACCTTTAATTGATATGAAAATTATAAATACATTGATATGTTCAAAACTGGCAAGAAGTGGAGTTCATTTGTGTCATTTAAAGATTGCAAATGCTAGAGATGAGAATGGAGTAAAAGCTATTTTGACAGAGAATCAGGTGAGCGCTAAATATGCTGGACCTATCATTCAGTTTTTGACACTACCAGAGGAGTAAACAATATTATATATGTTATGACTTGTTATGTTGCTACAAATTAGAGTTTTGATGATATATAGGTTTTTTTTTCCTATCATTTAAGGCCAACTAAAATTAATTAGTAGATTTTCATCCAGATTTTTTTTTAAAATGGGGCGGGTGGGAGGATTTTATTTTTTATTTTTTATTTCCTTTTATACCCCTTTGTGACGTGTTGTTCATATACAAGGGTAATAATTAGCTCATATCATGTATATATAAGGAATTCTACATTATTTTTCGAATTCTTGAATTAATATTTCTGATTGGCAACCACTGTTTTACATGTAATTGCCGCTTTAGAAACCTTTTTTTAGTAATACATTTTGTAGCAAAAACGTGGAGAAATGTTCTCTTTTAGACTATCTAGATCAAATTTATTTTGCTTTCTAAGCTATGATTTGTAGTGCCCATAAAATGAAGCATATGCATTTGTATGCAACATAAATATGATGAGTACAGAGTGAAATGAAAACTCTAACTGTGTTAAAAATACTAGGGTTGGTGCTTTTAAGATTCTTATGCAAGGTGCAAATTTAATTGCAATGTAAAACATGAATTGAACCAAAAAGAAGTTGTTTAATGACTCTATTGAGGGGCTTGGGACAGAGGGGTGTTTGCTGTTTGTCTACAAAAACGACAGCCTTGGGGGTTAAATCTAAGGGCTTGCTATAATACATTTTGTACATTGGCCGACTCTTTGTACTCAATATACGGTCATAAAGTTCGTGCTTGTGTAAATTACTTTATTCTAGTCATGTTTTTGTACCAATGTGTTCCACGATTCTTGCGCTTTGGATATCATTCACAGTCCAAATTTCCTGACACAAAGTCATTGTATAAATAAAAAAAATCCATGGTTTTCTAATCACTGAAATTTGTGACATAACGCGATTAACGTTCTTGGACACAACCTATAACTCGTAACCAGAATATTTCATGCCCTTCTAGTAATCAATCTATATTCTCAGAAAAAAATGTTGTCATCATTAAGCAGAAGAACATGTCGACTTGTCTTATATTACTCGAAGAAATACGAAAACCGAAATTTGAAACTGGAAGTTTTGAATGAAATGGAATTATCGGTGGTTACCGGTAACGGAAATGAACAAAATCCAGAAATCATAAATTTTCAAAAATAAAAAAAATTGGGGCGGGACGATTTCAGAGGGGCAGGCGGGGATGAAAATCTATCAATTAATTTTAATTGGCCTAATATTACTCTATTTGAAAACTATATGTTGGCATAACTTTGATAATTATCAGTGAGGTGTGAAAATTTACATTATTATTCACAGTAAAGAGGCGGGTGGCCCAAAGGAGGAAAACTGAATTTTGTATATATATTCATGTTATATGGTCAGTTTTTGTATAAATGTTACCATGGCAAGTAATATGTATGCTTCATCAAACAAAAATTGTTAATTTATGACAGGGGAAAAAAATCATGAAAGTTTTTTTATCTGTTTACATGCTTGACTCGTACTTATAAATCAATATTTGAAAGAAAAAAAATTCTATATAATCTGAATTTTCCTACGTCTTACCTGGTTGCCATGGTAACTATTGTTCCTAGAAACAAAACAACAGCTTTAATTTGATTCTCATGTCAATCTATGTTATTGTGTTTAGGTTTTTACAAAAGATATGACAATATTTGCCACACTTTGTATACATAAAATTAGAATTTTACTTCTTCTTGCCCGGTTGCCATGGTAACCGTTGTACATAAAAACAAAAAATGTCTTCTTTTTGATTCATATGTGAAACTTTATTGATATGTGTAGGTTCAACAAAAGATATCGAAACATGTGCAACACTTTGTTTACACAAATTTTGAAAAAATACAAAGAATTGCTGTTGATTACTGTGTCGGCATGGGTAACAAAAATGTTTTTCGATGAAAAAATAGTCTGGTGACCTATATTTTTTTTAATTTTTTTTCAAAGCTCATTGTTTGGATCATATTATGTCAAATTTAAAAAAAAATTCATTGGACCAATTTTTTGGAAATTTAAGAAAAATAGAAAATTTTAACAAAATCTTTGTTTTTCATTTGCACTATTGTTGACGAAATGGGGGCGGGATTTAATAAATATGTATAAAACTGCTATTATTTGTGTTTTATTTACATTTTCAACATTATTTATGTACTAAATGAAGAACAAACCTTTCAAAATACTTTCAAAGGCCTGAAAAAAATCCAGGATTTTTACTTCAGGTATGTATTCATTCACATATGTGATGTGCCAACTTTGGTGGCCGTTACCATGGAAACGAATCTGGTGACATGATATTTTTAACTAAAATTTTGATAGAGGCCATTGCATAGTATATGTATGCAAATTTAAAAAAAAATTCATTGGTGAAAAAAAAATTGCTTTATCTGTAGGGATCCACCTTAAAGAAAGGTTAATTGTATTAGTCCTTATAATCTCCACTATACTCACATGATACACATACATGTGTATGACGCAAATAAATATTTTTTTTATATACATACTTACAAAATATACGTTAGTCACAGGTATTTGGTAGTTGTTGTGCAAATCATCTGCTGCGGACGTTTCAAATTTAGCCTTTGTGACTGAAATAAAAGTAAAAGATATTATATCTTGCACGATTATGATTGTTTCGACTAAGCCACAAAACAGGGACCAAACCAAATGCAAGTATTTTACATTATTGTTTTACTTGTATGCACAAACGTCAAACTTTGTACAATAAGAAATTGTATATGCACAAACGTCAAACTTTGTACAATAAGAAATTGTATATATATTTAATGCGTTTTTAGACGGATTTTTCTCTTTATACACATCAAACATAAGTAGATATTGTTCATTACATTCGACTGAAATTGCTAGTTACAATGACCTAAAACAGATTGTGTGTTTGTGTGTGTGTAAAGTATACATATGTCAATTAACCTTTCATATCTTGTTATTTAGATTATAGAAGTTATATCTGCAATTGTGTATTTGATTCAGTAAATGATTCGAATTTCCTTTTCTGAAACTTTTTCATAGCAAAACGTAGTTTTTATATAACGAAGAAAACTACATTGGTATCAAAAAGATAAGATAAAAACAACAAAACTTTAACCAACTTATTTCAGCGCGGGAGTTCTTTAGGCATGTAGATAAATAAATTTTATTACAAATCTTCGTAGTACTATAATATAATTTTAAACGTTTTTCAATGAGTCTATCAGCAAAGTACGACAACAAAAAATAATATTACCGCCAAGTCGATGTCAACACTTAATTGGTTAACACTTCTATTATTACCTATTGGGGAGTGACAAACAATTTGCTGTGTAAACGGTTCTGGACATTGACATTGCTCGGATATTGTTTGTCACTCCCATATTGGGGTGTGACAAACAATTTGCTTTGTAAACGGTTCTGGACATTGACATTGCTCGGATATTGTAAATAAACACACCAATATAAAACACGAGTACATCATCCATGTTAGCAGTTTGTACACAACAAAGCGGGTGATCCTTTAAAAAGTAAAGCATTACAGAATTGTATATATAATATATAAGTACATCAATGCCGAAACAGCAAAAACGAATTTTATATATAATATATACGTACATCAATGCCCGAAACCAAAATTGTTAACATTAACATAGAGTTACCTTGTAACTGTTTGCAAAACATTTTTAATCAGACCATTAAATATCATTGCCGGACTGCCTTATGATATGTACTTTTATCGCTATTTTACGAATTTTTCCTTTGATCTTGCTGACTGATAATTTCCGTTCTCAGCGGAGTCGAGTGATATGAAAACGGAGTCGAGTGATGTGAAAATTGTCGCTAGAAACTAAGGGAACACGTGCAGTTGTCAAGGAAATTAACAACGTCTTCAGAGGTAAAATAGCGATAAACAGATTATCATCGGTCATCTCAACTCGATTGCTTTTCTCGCTTTCGCCGTACCGGCTCAAGCGAGAAAATCAATCTCGTTGAGATAACCAACGATAATCTATAAATACTGTATATTCAGAAATTATTGCGATGTTTTTATTATTGCGAAAAATGCGACAAGGTTATATTCGCAATGATTTAAACTCGCATTTTGAAATTTTTTAGATGAATTAAACAAGATTTTTTCTCAATATCGCAAAAATTAAAATCGCATTTTAGTCTCAAATGACAAAATCGCAATAATTTCTGAATTTACAGTAGTGCAAATGCTTATGGCAAACATGTTGAATATTATAATTTATACTGCAACTGTGCTATTTGCATAGACAAATTGCATTGATTGGGTTTTTTTTTTTGGTGCTATACTGTCACTGACTTCATATCACATTGTTTCTGACATTGATAATGTGTTTCCGTAGAGTTTTATCTATGACAACAAAAATATTCCATTTGGAACACCTGCACGAGATGGAGTAAAAAGAGAATAATCGTACTTTGTCTCGAAATATAAATTTGATTTGTCCTCGGCTCGACACAGGAAACAAAGCCTTGCGATTTTCCTGTTCCTAAGCCTTGTACAAATACATTTTATATATTAAGACAATGTACGGTTATTCTATAAAGAATATTCATTAGATACGATAGGGAATGAATCGTAAGTGATAATAGAATATAAAATATTGTTACTTTTCTTTACAGTTCGATGCATTATTTCAATCATGTAACAAACTCATTCAACTGATGCAAACATACAACAATAACTAGACGATATTTTTTTTCTCGAAAAAATAACAATGCAAATCATCGCATTCAAAATGTTTCACTTAGATATTAATCCTATCGTTTTGACATTTACACTGGAACAACTAACAGTTAGCAATCACACGGACTGATGCGATTTTTATGCTACTACCTGCAGGTATTATATTCTAATTCGCCAGCTCAAACGAATATAAATTATTTAATAAATAAAACAACACATAAATAGGATAAGTGTGCCTACAGGTGTAGCAGCCTTTAATATTATTTACATTCACAATTCTTCAAACTAAAGTCCTTCACTATAATTCAGACAAGCACACTACTAATCCAATCATATAATAGAATATACAGTAACACAATCAAAAACTATCTACAAAAGAGGAAAAATTCATATTAATATAGTGTAATATTTGTATATGCCCACGTTAACAATAACCAACTCAGAAAAGGGGTGGGTGGGTGGGTAAACATATAACGAACTGCTGCAACGTTAACTATAGGCAAACTTCGAATAACTTTATTTTCTCAAACGAACTACTTAAGTAATACTTAATCATGCTTTTCACGAATCTCGTGAGCGCATATACCCGTAAAAACCGCATTGCGGGTATATGCCATCCAATCAAATAGAACATAAACACACACCATGTGCTTGATGTAAACACACACACGTGTTTATAGTAAACAATCACTTGACCGTAACTGCGTCATGTGACCAATACCTTTAATAAATATATTTATATTCTAATTCGCCAGCTCAAACGAATATAAATTATTTAATAAATAAAACAACACATAAATAGGATAAGTGTGCCTACAGGTGAAGCAGCCTTTCGAAAGACAAAGAAAGCCAAGCAGATCTGAGCAAAGAATAAAAAAAATATATAGTATATCTATAAAAATTAAATTCCCAAACTTTTAGACACTGTCAGTTTTTCTTTAACATTTTCTCTAACATAGCCATCTTTAGCTTTATCTGAAGCCCATCTACCATGCTTCTTAAATAATCTATCATGAATGCCAGCTGATGCAGCTGCAGTAGCTCCACCTGATCTCAAGCTATGTAATCCAAATTTTGACTTATCTAAGCGATAGATTCCAGAGCTGATAATATAATTTCTCTAACTCTAGTATTTGACAAAGGTTTAAGACCTCTCAGTCTATAAGATCTAGATTTTTTACATAAATACATGGATCTAAATATATAATCTGAAGATGATGCATCTATATTGGATAATAACAAATATTTCTCCAACATACTAACAGGGCATGTTTGTGTATCTGTTCTAGCAATTAAAACTTGTGTGCCTTCTCTATAACGATCAGTTTTGCTTTTCTGTATGAGCAAAGAGACATGTGTATCAGCAAATTTTAAATCAGATCTTTTTAAATTTACCATTTCAGAAAATCTTAAAAACCCTGCGTAACTAATAAGACACATACAACAAATTATAATTTCTATACCATATTTATTAACAATTTTCTTTAAAATATCTGGCGTAATTGGTTCTTTTTTATTTACAATAATATGTCCAATCTTTCTATGAGATCCTTCTTTAACCGATATACACAACTGTGAATTACACGGATTAGAAAAGCCAGCTAGTTTGTGAGCCCAGCTTATTGAATAATATGCTTCTTCAACCTTAGCATACGAGTTAAATGTCTTTGA